ATATACTGTAGTATTACCTGAAACCACAGAGGTTTAGGAAATTGTTGACTTTTTATATACGGCGAACGGCTATAGACGGAATTCTTAGTTGTGCTAGCCGCTATACACGTGATATGAAATTTATAGCCGTATGGTTTACCGTATGATAGATTGGCAAATAGATTGAATGGCATCGACTTCTTCATTGGTATCATGAGAAAGGTTGCAGTAAGCGATTGTAGTGGCGCATACAAACTTAGAATTGTTTTGGATAACACTAAACTGATTTTGGCTGTTTGCGTTATTTAAATTTCTTTGTTCGTCGAGTATCTGTTGTAGTTTCTCCAAGAATATATGGTATGGAGTAATGAAATGCAGATAATATTGATCGGGATCTGAATCATACAAGACTTTCGTAATTACTTGGCTATTTATACTGTGGGCTGCAATTGTCTTGAAAAAAATACCAAGGGTCTTTAACTTTTCCAGTAGGAATGTAGATGATATATCGTCATTTAGACCGTTAGCACTTACGAGATTTTCGACTAAGGAGGTAACAAAGGGTGCATTTTCAGGCTCGACACTTCCTGTTTCAAGTAATTTTGTTGCTATGAATGCTTGGGTTAATATGAGATAGATCTCTTCGGATGCAGCTCCCGGGTGGTCCACAGGATTGAAGTGGTTCCAAAGGTCCTTGAATTCAAATATGCTTATCTGTGAATTCTTTTTTTCGATAAATGCAAAGCGTATTAACTTTTTGATAAATTTGGAATAAATTCCAAACACTTCTTTATAGTATTGACCATTATCTACTACAACTTTGGCCGATTTCAAGACGCTAACGTAGTTCTCGAATGAATAAACGGCAATATCACTCGACATTAAGTTATTAAATAAATGGAAGGCTTGGTATTGAATCACATCGTTAAACTTGATTCCGTAGAAATTTGCTATAAATTTTTTCAAACCAATTTCGTTGTCTATTTTCACTCTTAGCAACTCGGCTTTTTCAACACTTGTAATGTAATTACCAAGGTCTATAGCACAAGCAGACAAAATATAAGGATCCGTTTCCGGATTACGAAAATATTCTATGGCCATTGAAAAATCCACAGAGTTGTCGTAGTTTGTCATCGATGCAATATTACCACTGGACGAAAATAATCTTCTCTTATTCAAAGTAAAATTCTGTATTTTTGTAGGAAGTTGAGGAATTAATTTCAAGATCTTTGAGTGTATTTTAGTTGACGACAAATTGGGGATATCTTCACATAATGTAATATTATAGATAATATTGGATAAGTTGGAAAATACGTCATTGACTATATCCATCTCTTCCTTATCATGTTCATATACGTTTAATCTAACCGCAAAATTAAACACCTTTATAATAGTATCAAGATGCTCTTTACAATCATTTGCAAATATCATATCAACAGAAGTGGTGTCAGACATCTCACTCATAAATTCCGAATATATTTCTATTGGAATCATTAGTTCATCAAAGCCTGTCTCAGCAGCAAGTTCAGAATCAATTATAAACCTCAAATACTCTATTAAGCACTTTTCAATTCCTGTTTCACTAAAAAATATAATAAAGCTCTTTAGCAAATCGGTGTTATGTATGAATTGTGACAACATTAAAAGAATTCTCTCATAAATAACATTCCTTTTAGCATTAAGAGTATTCAGGCTAAACAATTTGCATATTAACGACCAAAAAGTTGCCTTATAATCCAAATCAGAAGATGCTAAAAACAGTCTATTGTCATCATTATTGGCTAGAAAATTGATCAAAACTCTAAGAGCCTCAAGTATTAAAGAATAGCAAGACGCATCATCTCCTGATTCGATTACTTGAAATAATTCGGCATTAGTTATCTTTATGACTGTTGGAATAGAACCTTTTGATATGGAACTCGACCTAACTGAATCTTCTCTTAAAAGATCCCCAAATTTTTTTAACAATTCATTAGTTGAACCATCTGGCTTATCAATGCTATCGATCTTTTCTAATAGAGCTGTCAATTCCATATTTTGTTTGCTTTCGGATCCTACGTACTACCTTCAGTTCGTAGTTCGCCAAAAATACTAAAATAATGTCTACCCTGCATATAAATTATATAAAAGCTGATTGCAAGATGTTCCAAGAAGGTGAATATATTGAGTCATTATAGGCATGCCTATGATCAAGTTTCGAAATAATCACTCTTAATTATACATATGCTTGATGTATCATATATAAATTAACATGGGAATCAAATGTTAAGAGTGAGAGAAAGCTAAAGGGCAAAATACATTAGACCACTAAATCTGATCAAAATTGATTAATATGAAGTAGCCGATATATGTTAGCGTAGCAGTTCTTAATTATATACATTATATGGAACTTTTACTATTTTATTATTATTTTAAACTTTTTTAATTTATGTCTACCACGAATCAATGAATTAAAATCCTAAGGTATAATTTATTTTTCGAATACCTTTTCACCGCTTCTTAAAGCCAAAATGAATCGTACATCAATGCATAAGCTTAAACTATGTAGCATTGGTAATAAATTTAGTAAATCACGATCACTTTGGTCATTTATCCACCCTTCAATCATTACAGCATTGTCTTCGTGCAAGGCATAACTAATTGGGGAATTGTCTAGGATAATTACATTTTTCAAGTCGTCATCACGAGGAAAAAATTTAGACAAATCCTTAATGTAACCGACTCCTGGTCTATATGAACAGTCGGTTCTATAGTAACGCTTTGTGAAAACTTGTCGACTAATACCTTGCTGGCGATCATTATTACTTGTTAAGTATGGCGAAATATCATTTTCTAGCCAATCTATTATCGGGTCGGCGTATTCTTTAACGCTTGCCGTGAATATTTGTAAGTCGAACCATTTAGCAACTTCCTTTAAGAAAAAATCACAATAGGGTCTTTTGTGAACGTAGTATAAAGAGGAAACATTGTTGATTTTGATTTCGATTGTATGAGTCGATCCACCTCTGAATGAACGAGGAGAGCCACGAGATAATGAATGGATTAATGTTTCATCCAAATCTAAGATCAATGTCTTTCTACGCTTCTTGCCAGGATTCCGTGAAAGCGGATATAATCTTTGTGGTGGAGGTAAAATGTATTTTGATGAAGATGTAGGTGATTTGATATTATTAGCCATTATATTTTCCTGTTTGAGTAATTCTGTCTTTTCGTTGATGACTGACGGCATATCCGACACCATATCATTAGAAATTGATTGATTATTCTCATTCCTATCTGAGCCAATTAGTTCGTCCGAGACCTGTTGCTTTCTAAACAAATGGGTAAATGGGTAAGTAATCAATAACCAAATAAAGATCAATGGCTTCACTAGCAAGTAATTCGGCAAGAAGAAAATCGCCTGGATAATCAACGCCAAGTATGTAGATTTTGGATTCAGATTCTGGTCTTTCTTTTCCCCTTCATCCACTGTTTCATCGCCTTCCTCTATTTCATCATTCACCACTTCGTTCTCGAGTTCAGCCCCAAGTTTGTACTCATTCTTGCTGGGGTAGAGTTCATCCAATGAATTGACCAAAACCTTGAGAGAATTCATGTCTGATTACGGTTTTATATCTTGTCTAATTTCTATTGATGCATGCTTCTTTAAATTTACCAATCAATGGTGTATAAACTTTGCCAATTTCAAATTGCTTCAGCTGGAATGCCGTGAAATACCTTTTCAATCTTATAGCAACTTTCCAATCTATGTATCTAGCACTTTAAATGATCTCCGATCAATTCCTTTCTGTTTATTATAAAGTATGTACAAGACTATTCCTATGTCTCGATATGCTAACGGTGTCACTATATAAATCAATATCTATTTCTAATATTAGATCATCAAATGATATTTAGAAATTTTATAACCGCATGAGAAGGTTATATCAAAATGTCGCATTCCATGGTCATAAACGCTGAGCTCGGCAAATATGCATCACCAATATTTGTTAAGCGAAACCAACATGATGTTCTACGGCTCTAGTATTTCTATTATTTGGTCGGCATTTCGCTCTTCTCCTTATTCTGCTGTATTCTGATCTACTTAAATGCTATATATGTCGCACATGGGGGGGCCCTTGTGAACCATGTGCCTCTCCCCGTTCAGTAATTGTATGAGTTGTAATTATTATTATTATCATTATTATTATTAATTGAGTATTATGTAAAGCATACAATAAAACAGGTCAAATCGTGTTCTTAAATGGGGTAATATAATCACCTTCATGGCAAAACCGGAATTATGATCATTTACGATCTGGATAAACGTTGGCCTTATCTGAGTGAGACTAGCGACATTTGATTTAAGCTATTTAACAATACTGGCACGTTGCTAGCACGTTGATTGTACATTATAATACGGATGGTTTAGGTTGCTTCTACCTCTACGGAGGTAGAATCTACGTTAATTGACCATGGAGGGTACAAGATGGAGCATGTTGATGACATGAACCAGCTAATGGGACACTTGAAAAACCAAAATGTCGCGTATACGACTGTTGGGAAAATGCAGCAATTTTTGGTCACAAACCAAAATTAATGGTTCAAATAATTAAGGCAGTTAGAATTTGGGCAATATTTTTCTCATTTTTTGGGGGGAGGATGACTTTTGGGAGCCTTCCATGCATCATTGAAAAGTTAATTATATGTCCTGGATATATACCGGAATCCTACAGTCATCATAAGTGTACAGGATACGATCTTTTCGTTAATATAAGATTAATGGGAGCCATTATTTGCAATGGTACTATTATCGATATGGGCACTGTTGGATTCATTATGGGTGGCTTCGGGTTCGTCCATCGTTGCATCGGAATCCGTATTAGATTTCGTGGCATATTTGTCTTTAGTTGCGTTATTCACAAAGCCTTGTAGAATTGATGTGATGTACGAAACTTGAGGCTGGTCACCTACCGTTGAGGTATTCGATCCATACCCCGAGGAAGATAGATTACTCACGAACGAGTTGGTGAGCTTTCTTATTTTTGCAAATATTTCATGGTCGCTTTCTTCATCCAGATCGTCACTGTTCTTATTATTGTCCCCATCATAATCTTCTTCGGGTGGAATATTACTGGCATTTTCGTCTATGAGGAAATTACTGTGGAGATTCGTCTGTATTAAGCGCATAGGGTTCAAATGGCTCTGATCATCATCCTCTTCGTCTTGATTTTCATCATCCTGCTCTTCCTCCTCCTCCTCTTCCTCTGGTTTGATCAATTTCTGTTGGTTGGTATTATAACTTCTGCAATATTTACACTTCAACCCAAGAACATGATACGGAACGTTAGATTTACCTTTGCAGTCATTACAGCTTATGATACATCTCCATAAGTTATATGGCTGTGGTAATGGCAGCTGTCGAATTTCCTGATCTAATATTCTAAATTGGGTTTCTACATTCACAACTGTCTTTTTGCAAACAGGACATTTGTATGAATGTTTACTTAGTTCATCATAACACATTTGATGTATCAGATGACCACATTTCATGAATACGACTTTATTGACAGAAGTAAATAAATATTCGTTACAAATAGGACAATTACAATGTGTCGTATTTGTTAGGCACTTGTGCCTCTCTCTTAAATCTATCGATAAGCATATATTACACTCGTCACAATGATAGAAATCTTTTCCCAACCCCAATCCTAGTCGACAAATTCCACATTTATCGCAATGATAAATATCCTTAGTTGGATCATTGTCATATAACTTACATTTGAGACAAAAGTAGTTAGCCAATTCGGCTTCACAAGAAATGCAATAATTACTCTCCGGTATTTGAGGAGTATTGCACTTCATACAGAGAATATGCTTTATATCTTCTCTTATCAATTTATGTGATGATATTTCGCTGTCGTGACAAAATCTGCATGGAAACCATTTAAAGCAAGTAGGACATTCAACTTTGCAGTTTCTTTGGTAATGCGAGCATCCCATTATGTTATTTAACGGAGCATCATGATACGATGGTTCTTGATCTTTCTCTGTGAGAATTACCGCATCATCATCGTCCTCTGATAATGTTTCAACCTCCGATTCAGTCCGTCCTTCTTGAGATGTGGATTGTTGTTCATCTATTCTTTCATTATCCTCCATTATCACTTCGGAAATACTTCTTTCTGGCGAGTCTTCTTTGTTCAAAACTAACTGTTGCTTTTTAAGAATTGGTGATAAAGACATGTTATTTTTAGCCAAGTTCTCATTTACATATTTATAATAATTACCCATCATTAATCTTGTAACCAATTTGTTTTTCAGTGTTTGACTCAAGTTATCTAATCCCTGGATTTTCTGGATCTTTTTTCTGAGTAAACTTTCTTGATAAAAATCATCTAGTGAGGATAAGTCTGTCAATGCTTTGACCTCGTCAATAGATAATCCTTCTACGTTATCCAAATCACTTCCTGTAGCTGTAGCACTGTCCTCGTCAGATAAGCTTCTTGCTCCATGAAGGTGACGTCTTCTTTTCCTCTTGAAGTCACTACTGTGGCTGTCCTCATTGTCCGGTTTCACTATATTACTCACAAATGGTTGATGACGATTAACGATAGCATCAACACCAACAGGCTCTGTAGAATTCTGATTCGGGTTACTTTCCAGTCCCCTCTCTCTATCTATATCATAATCATCTTCGAAATCACTAGTGTCTTCTGCCGGTAAAAATATTGTCTCATGGATAATATTGGTCAACGGTTGCAACCTATCGATAGCGGTTGCTAAAGATAAACCTAAGTCCAAATCATGTAAAAAATTATGCATTTGAATACGTGTGGAAATTGCAGTTTTCATCGAATTAATCGTCGTCTGTTGTACTTCAGGTGGTGCTGTATCCGATGAACCACTCTTATGTGTGGATATATATCTTGATATTTCATTCGAAAATTCTTGAACCTTAGGCAAATTCCTTAGATTTCTTATATCAAACGTTGGCATGTTTGGAAGGTTATTTATATACGATGACAAAGATAAATTCAAGTTCAATGGCATACTCAAATTAAGTCTGCCAATCTGATCTAAGTCCTCGGTCAACGAATCCACGTCCGATTCTGAATCATTTTCTTCAGTCCGTTTATCATTTTCAATATTTCCAAGGTCAATTGACATACTTATGCTGCAATCTTGTCTATATCTTATAATTAAACTTGGTGATTTAGGTCAATTATTATTCCCATTTATCGGTAATATATCTATCAAAAATAATTTATCATTAGACTGATTTTGTGTAAAGTACATTTATCTTAATAACTTATTTATAAGCTTGACTACAATATTGTATACGATACTAAGTTAGAGGTTTAATATTCAAGTAACATGGATGATAATATAATACCCGACGGTATCAAAATACCTCCTGCTGAGGTGAAAGAAACAATAGATAAAACAGTTGGTTACGTATTAAAAAATGGCTCATCGTTTGAAGAAAGATTAAAAAATAATGAAGGATCAAATGAAAAATTCACCTTCTTAAAGAAGAATGATGTTTACAACGATTACTATCAATGGAAACTAGGTAATCTTAAGGATTCTGATGTGCAAAATGGAGATGTGAAAGTGGTTACGGCTGAAAGTACGACGACCAATGCACCCCTAGAACTTCAATTTATCACCACCAATCCTCCTATATCATCGTTGGACTTGGACATTATAAAATTGACAGCTCTCTTTGTGGCTAAGAATGGAAAAAAGTATGCTGAACACTTGTTTACACACCAAACTCAGCAATCGAATAAAGCACAATTTGAGTTTCTTCATGAGAAGCATTCATTGCATCTGATATTTCAAAAATACGTCAAACAGTACGAATTGGTTCTAAACTTGTATAAAGACTCGGACGATGATCAAACACAAGGTATTGTTAAGAGACTTTCACATCCGGATGACATATTCGAATCTGCCTATAGAAGGGCACATTATAATAAGCAACATAAGGCTGTTATACAGAATGAGAAAAAGTTAGAGGAACAGAAAAAACTAGCATATACGTCTATTGATTGGCAGGACTTCGCAATCGTTGGACAAATTGAATTTGATGCTATTGACGAAGTTCGTGAATTGGCGATCCCTTTAAGAAGAGAAGATTTAATTTACAGATCATTAGAATCGAAACAAAAAGAATTAGACTTGGCCAAGGCAAAGGTACAACCTAAACAAGAGTCTCAAGAAACGATACCAGAAAAAAGCGAAAATGAAGTGTTAAAGCACCCAAAGCCAAAAGGAATGAAGATCAGGGCTGCTGGAGAATCGAGATTGAAGAACAAGTCCAAATCAAACCTCCAAACTACAAGCCATATGGCAGGCCATATAAAATGTCCTATTACTGGAAAATTCATCCCAGAACTGCAGTTCGATAATCACTTAAAAGTGCTATTGAGAGATCCTCGTTACAAAGAACAGCAAGACAATTTTGTCCGTAAAAACTTCACCTACTCATCGAATTTAACAACAGATGAGGTGTACGACAATATAAAACGGTTAGCTAGGAAAAGAGAAGGTACGCAAAATGGAGAGGAGCACATCTCCAAGAAACCAAATCAAATCGGTCCCCATTGAAATCTTAATAGCATAAACATGTACTACTTTATAGAAATTAATACAGATGCATAAATAGCCAGGAATTTATCTTTAGATAACCGATATATTTTATTAAATACACAAAATAAACAAAAATTAGATGTAAACGTATAAAATCAAAAAGAAAATTAAATTACAATTATGTACTAATTTAAGCCTTTAAAGAAGAAGCTCTTCTCTTTTTGATTTCAGCTCTTTCAGCCTTACGTTCGTGTAAACGTTGAGCTAATAATTGAGCGTATTCAGCAGCAGCATCTCTTTGTTGTTGAGCGTTCTTGACCTTTTGAGCCTTTAATGCTCTCTTTCTTTGTAAAGTTTGTGGAGTAACTAAACGTTGAATCTTTGGGGCCTTGGTGTATTTCTTATCGCCCTTAACGACTTCACGTCTAACAACGAATTGTCTAACGTCATCTTCCTTGGTTAAACCGAAGAATTTTCTAATGTTGTTAGCTCTCTTTGGACCTAATCTCTTTGGGGTGGTGGTGTCGGTTAAACCTTCGATGTCAGCATCACCTTGCTTGACAATAGATAAAGCTAAGACAGCTAAATCTTGAGCAACGATACAACCTCTAACGGACTTTCTCTTACGTTCACCAGTTCTTCTTGGTCTGTAACAAGAGTGACCCTTGGCTAATAATAACTTAACTCTGGTTGGGTGCATGACACCTTGTTTCATTGGGAAACCTTGCTTGTCGTTACCACCGGTGATTCTGAAAATGTAACCTTTGAATTCATCACCGACGGAGTCACCTTCGACTTCTTGGCCCATACGCTTTTCGTAGAAAACACGTAATTTGTGTTCGTCTTCAATATCGATACACTTTTGGGTACCGTTGGCTGGATAAGAAATATTTAACTATTATTGTTAGTATTTTGGTTCTATTTTAACATACTCCCCTAATTATCCTATAATACACTCTCGTCAACTCCATTCTCTTCTGGCCCCCTCACACCATTTTTTGTCCTCTTTGTTGCTGTTCTTGTCAAAATCATCCTATTCCCTAAAAATCACTGAAAAATTTTTCCCTAGTGCGCTTGGCTATACCGTCCACCTATTCATGTCTTCATGAATGAACGATATCCCAATCGTCAACTTTATTATCCATACATCATGTCTACTTCTATTGTCATCCATATTCATTAACCACTCGACATATAATATTATTTTTCACTCCAACGATAATTATTCACTTTATTCATTTGATAATTTCTCTCTACTTGACTTAATGTAATATATAATGGGAACTGATTACTTTTGAGGGTGTATTATAGTATAATATGTATTAATATCTCATGTAACATACCTTCATCTTGTACTGGTCTACCTATGCCTTCTGAATTAAGAGCTAAAATCACTAAAAATTTTTATAAGTCAAAGAAATTGATGATTTTTTCACCTGGTTAGTACTCAATCGCACAATACTGTATAGTGTTAGGAGAAAATCCTCATAGTTAACATGAAAAATTCGAGTGCGAAATGAAGTCAGAAATTGTGCGTGTGTTGATCATTTTGTGACTGTTTATTGTTTTCTGAAATGACGGGGCCATAGCCCTCATAATGGCTGCAATATTGCGCATGGAGGTGTAGAAGATGGATAGGTGATAATAGTGGGCAGTGTAGAACATGCTAATTTTTGAAAATTGAGCTCATAGAGAGGTTGAGATGTATAAGCTGGAGTTATTCTGACTTGGCGAAGTCTTGTAGATATATAGTTTAAGGGCGAGATAGTGCATGAGTAAATACGATGGTAGCAATAAATAAGAATAATAAGCGTGGACTAAAGAGAAGCAAATAGAGATTACTGATTAGTGTATTTGTGAATTAGTAAAATTAGTAAATAGAGATTAGATAAATAGAGATTAGATAAATAGAGATTAGATAAATAGAGATTAGATAAATAGAGATTAGATAAATAGAGATCCTAAGGTGGATTATAAGATAATTATGCTAAGGCGACCTAGGTTAAATGGGCCTGCTACACTCGTCAATATCAGAAACCAAATACTCATACATTACATACTGTCATACTAATATACACTTCGTACTATACAATTGCTACTGCCGGGTCACTTTTTCTTATGCGAGGTCGGGGCGTTGTTGGAGGTGTTGCTGTAATTGCTGGTTGCGTTACTGGGGGTGTTGAACGGACCCATGAACTGAAGAGGTGATGTGAGGTTCTCTGTCTTTGTCTGACCCTGAGACAGTCCCTGGAACTGTGCACGCGCACTTGGTTGGCCGCCGCTCGAGGGAATCATATTCATGAAGTACTGGGGCATCGAGCTGTTGATAGGCGTCATACCCGTGCCCGAGTTTGCCCAATCCTGCGACACGTAGAAGTTGGAGGGTGATGGGAACAATTCGTTGACGTACCGCGAAGGAAGGCCCGAAACTGGTGACTGTTCACCGCCCTGATTATTGGGGTGTTGATACTGTGTGCCCGATAAGAGCAGTCGCTGTTTCGCATAGGAGTTATTGGCTGACGGCGCTAACAGATTTTGGTTTTCATTAGTGGTTCCGCCATTGTTATTTTGTTGATACTGATGCTGATGTTGATTCTGGTGCAGCCCATATTGTGGGTTGATCACCTGGTTAAGTATTGGCGTCGGGAGTATCGAATTATTCGAATATTGGACCGATGGTGATGGTTGGGGAAGCGATCCAAAAAATGAAGTCATTCCACTCATTGGCAACGACGGTGCTGTAGCACTAGATGGCGAAGACGTTTGTGACTTGTTTTGTATTGGTAATGGTAAGGTGGTTATCGGTTTATGGTTATCAGGCGATTTGAACGATCCGAAATACTTGATATTTGGTGCCATAGGATGAGTACCAGAATTAAGACCTTTATTTGTAATGCTATTTGCCTTACTATTAGGGTCTGAAGAGTTGTTCTGGAGGTTGGTGTCTATGGCGGTGATAGTTTTAGCACTATCGTTACTGTCGTTGTTCTTGGCATCGATTGGAATCTGGACCCTCAAAACAGGTCTTTGGTTCGCCGAAACGTTCGACGTAGTAGAACTGTCTCGTTTGTGCGACATATCTCCCTTGTGAATAGTCTCCCGATCATCTTCGTCATTGGCTTGTGGGTTGCTTGCTTGTCCATAACTCATGGCTGACTTAGAAACCCCTGAGAGTGAAATATGAGACGGTGGTGTAGGTCTGCGCGAACTGTATCTTTTCTCGTTCTTCCCTCTCTTTCGTCTGTCTTCCCCATCGTCTTTTTTCTGGCGCTTGGGCTCAGGGGTGTCGCTATCGTATTCTGACTCGTTTTCATCCTCAATCGACATCTCATCATCAATTGGGAACTGTACTTGGTTTAAATGCCTCTTCTTCTTGTAATTCCCATAATTTGCCGGTGATTTCGACTCGTGAGGCTTGACTCCCAGGTACATATCAAGCAATTCCTTCGTGTCAACAGAACTAAATTCGTACACCTTATTGTTATTTCCCACGATAATAACCGCCAAATCCACCTGGCACAACACCGCCAATTCGTGGGCCTTCTTGAAAAGTCCCGCTTTCCGCTTAACAAACGTTACCGTCCTATTTCTGTCGTCTGTGAGCGGCTGAATCTCAATCTTTCTTCTTCCCATTGTATATCAATGTTTATCTATTAATTAAGTCTCGTATCCCAGTTGGTAGTCTCTATTCTAGTCGGTTCCAACTATTATCAACTGTTTGTTTCTATGTCTGTATCAATTCTTGAGAAATCAACTGTTTATATTTTTTTTTTTTCAATTGACTAAAATTGTCTGTAATACTTATTATTACTCCTAATAGTGTCAACTAATTATTTTTTTCGTAATTAGCCTACTTAAATGTAATCAATCTTGAATTTTTACTAAAGGATATGAGTAGATCTCCTATTTGATTATATAATACTCTCTTTGATAAAGTATTGACATAAACTTGTTAAGCTGCAATGGAAGAGCTATTTTTAGTTTTGATTATGGATTTTTCTATCACCATTATTTAGGTGCGCAAGATTTTTTTGAACCGAAGAGCATGTTGCATCGCAATAGATTTGTAATTTTTATAGTTTTTTTTATAGTTTTCTATTGTGCTAAGTAATGGCTATCAAAGTAAAGCGTGGCGTAAATGTGCGGTGAGAGTAGATTAGAAATCAAATAGGTATTGTGGATGTAAAGACGGATT